CTAATCCACGTCTTGTACAGTTCTTCAAACTATAAAGCAGGAAGAAGTGGGTATTTGGTGGTGCMGATGCAGAATGGGGTACGTTTCATTCTGTCATTGTTGCCTGACTTCAAAGCAGTCATTTGACTATGTTCTTCACTGAAATCCCCCAAAACCTGACAACATTAGAATACCATCAAACACTCTGTCTGCCTTTGAAATGCAACTGACACTGTTTGGCGCTGCAATTTGCAGGCTCTAAAGAGCKCACCCATGTTATTGAAATAAATCTGAGGCTTGTAATGGGAATGGAAATGAACACATTTTTCATGCTCTGGCTTAGAAGTGAGTTGAATATCGAGATGGAGCCTTGTTTCCCCAGAGAGTGTGGTTGTTGACTTTGTAGCGCTTCCTCATTGTCCACTGTAGCCTTGCCATTTCTTCTTCTTCATTTTTTTTTTGTTCGATTTTCCTTTCCTCTTCCATCCTTTTTTCTATTCTYCCCCCTGGCGTTCTCTCCATCCTCTCATCCAGATGGCAAAAAAAAAGAGTCTGTCCAGAGGGAAGACTTCAAAATGTCTGCAGTGAGAGAGATAAAAACCAGACTAAACAGTTGCAAAGGTTAAGTATATCAAATGAGAGCTCTGATAGACTTTAGTCTATTGATTTTATTGTCAGACAGGACTAACCGTGAACCTTTCTTTTTCACTTGGTACTGCCGTGCTCCAAGATCGCCGTGTTTGGACTGTTGAGTGCATCATGAAATATGAGCAATTAAATTTACAGCACACTCAACTGCAGGACAAAATGTTTTAATGACATCAGTGGTTTGTTGTTGCAATCAAACTGCACAAGAGCTAGCATATTGTGTGACAATCTAAGTGCACTGAAAATATTATTTTATAACTCCGTCTGTAGTCTCAAGAAGCATGAATGAAACATTTAGTCTAGGGAACTGACTTTTTTATTATTTCACAAAAGGGTGTTTTTTTACTGCCTGCCTCTACATTGTTTATCTTGATTGKTTTTTTTGTCCCACAATAACATTTACAACATTTTTTTCTGTCTTTTTTTCTATTCTCTGGGCTAATTTTGATGAAACAAAAACAAGAACAAGATCAAATGTTGAGACCAAGGTCAGGGGGTGAAGCTTCTATAACACAAAATAACACAAAGGAAAGATGTGCTGCTTCACTCTGTTTGTAAATTGCCTTTTTTTAAACACACAAATTATTTACTAAAAACATTAGCTAATAACAGTTGAGTTAATAAGAATAATTGAAAATTTGAAAACAGTAAAACAAGAGGTCCTTGTCTAAAWAATCAAATGCTTTACAGTTTGGTGTATAACAAAGCCCTGTGGTGAAAAAAAAAAAAAACTTTTCCATGTCTGTTTAAAAAAAGTGCAGAAATACATGATCAAAACACTCTTCGCTTCAATGGTCTCTGAGTAATTTTATTGCAATAAAATGAGAATCAAAATGCATCAATACAAGTTAAGTCTGAGGGCGCAGCCCCAATGAAGCATCTTACTCTTCCAGTAGAAACCAGCCCAAAACCAGTTCCTATTTCACATGCAAAGAGTGCTTCTTATCTGAGCAGCAAATATTTCTAGTTTCAGTTAAAATCCTGTTCTGTGGTCCTTCAACAAAGAAGAACACCTTAAAATGTGGTTATACTTCCTATTTATTGTCACTTACTGTACATGTTCACATTYCAATAGTAAMAAAACAAATAGTTCTGCAATCAAGTTGTGCAGAAACTACAATAGTGTGTGAAGTTAAACCTTGAAGAACAAGAAGAGACACATTAAAGGTGTCCTGCTGGAAACTTACAACATGTGTTAAAACAATTCAGAATAACGTGACAATACATGTGCAGTTTTTATAAGTAAAACATATGAAACACTTTTAAAATATAAGTACATGGGCAATAATTTTATTTTACTTTATAAAGCTAATTAGTTACAGCTGACTAACATTTTTAAGCATTTAGCTGCAGAGTATTAGCTTTTTGTTAGCATAGTGAAATAGAAGGCTTATATTTGTGCACATTTTTCAGCTGAGTTCAGTTTGAGAGCTTTAACAATTTTTTTGAGGCAGTCTCTTTTTTTCTTTAGGTTTTTTTTTTTTTTTTTGTGTACAGTATGTCATTGTGCTCATGAACCATAGGCTCAGCTCTGTATGCGTCTGCTCTGTTCAGTTAGTCTCCTTGTCTGCAGAACAAGTGAAACCACAAGAAAAGACCATGACCAAAGCTTGTGCTGCTTTCTTAAAACAAGGATTGTCCCCCATCCATGCAATGCATTTGTATTTTACTTATTTGAAAACCACAATTTTATTAATGTGAACTGACATCATAGTTGCCTCAGAGTGATGCACAAGCTTACATCTTAGCTGCAGCAGGACATACAAGAGGCTACATCCCATTAGTTTAATGCAAAAACAAACTGTTTTATATGTAAAAAAAAAGAGAATGCAAACAAAAAGTAAATACAAAATTTTGCATTATTTGCAACTTAAAAAACCTGTCTATTGTTTCTGAGGAAAGTAAAAAAAGTGCATACATCTAAAAATGACAGAAAACATTGGTGTATTTTTACACTGTATCTTTCATAATTCACAGGTTCACTTTTCAGAAWCACTYCATTCTCACATGCAAAATTTAAACATAACAGRGTTCTTTCATTAAGCAATAATTAAAGATGATGAAAACCTGAAACAATCAGATTTTCCTGTAAATTGACTGCAGTGTGGGTGTAGCCCACACAAAAAGCAGACAAATGAAAACAAACCTTTTCATCTGAACTTTCATCTGCCATGGGGAGAACACTCTCTGGTGAACTGCCAGATGCTTGCTGGAGGTTTGTTGAGTTTGCATAAATTAAACCTCTAAATTAAATATTTACCAGTGTTTCACCAGATCTGGAAAGGCGGTATTAACACAAGAGAAAAGCAAATCCAACTCCAACAATAATTCTATTTATCGGAGTGGAAGAAAATCAGTTTTCTGCWGCCAGGCTGACAAAATCATTCACTTTTTTTTAAAGTTTAACAGAAGAACAAAGAAAACAGACTGAGTCACTAACTTCACCAATTCAAACCGGCTTTCTTTATCCAACATTCCTAATAAATATCAAAGAGTGAAATTCCGACTGACCACAGGGATTTTTCTGGGATCTCTCAGAACATCTAGAAACACAGTGATTCATCCAGGGTCTCCTGCTGGGAGAGAGTCCCTCATCCTGTGACTCTAAACAAGATAAAGTGGCACAAAGTCAAACAGATGACAGATTGAAAGTTGCTGGCATTCTTCTTCAACTTGAAAAAAAAAAAGCATTATTAGCATGCAGCTTGTCTTATTATATAAAAASAGTTTTGTCTACTCTTGTTAAACCTCAACTTGCAAATTGCACAGTTTTTTTTAAAATCTATAAAATAAGTGAGAGCATTGCAGACAGAAACCAGTGCATTTAATGTTTGTCAGTCTTATCTTTTTATTAGCTGGTTGTGCATAAAACACCTGGARCCTCCTTTGTACTAATGGCTGAAGCTGTGCTGCGTCTTTGGAAAAGGGATTATTGATCTCCAAGATGCTCRAAAACTTAATAAAGCTGAGTTCAAATGTGTCTCTGAGTTCAGCTGGTCTTTCAGTTTCCAGTGTGGAGAACACACACAGAAGGGTTCTCTTCCTTTGACACGTTCTAATAAAACTGTGTATATTTAGGTGGCAGTGCAGGAGTTAAGGCCTTCACATGCACGGTCACGTGGTCGTTCGGTGTTTGTTTTCGCACACACCTTTCAGAGCTCCTGAGATCCAGCCAGCCRTGCTCCTGGGAAACCCCTCCCACTGCAGGATACGTCCACACTCCAAATCTGTCCCGATTAAAGCTCCACACTTTTCTGCAGATGAATAATTTTGCGCACAACGTTTTATCTCAATTTATGGCTTTTTGGCTTTTTAACTCTTTATAAACGTCTGCTT